GAAGCTGGGAACAGCCCAGATGTCCCTCAGGTGAGGAATGGTACATTTACACAATGGAATACCACTCAGCAATTAAAAACAAGGAAATCATGAAATTTGTGGGCAAATGGTGGGAACTAGGGAAGAACATCCTGAGTGAGGTATCCCAGAAGCAGAAAGACACACATGGTGTATACTCACTTAAAAGTGGATATTAGACATATAATATAAGATAATCATACTAAAATCTATACACCTAAAGAAACTAATTAAGAAGGAGGACCCTGGGTAAGATGCACAATCTTCATTCAGAAAGGCAAACGAGACGGACATTGGCAGAAGAGGGAGAAAACAGGGAACAGGACAGGAGCCTATCACAGATGTGAATTCTTTTGTTTGGTTTTTCTTTTTCTCTTAGTGCTGAGTGACAAGAGTCATTCTACTGTTTTCATACTCCTCTGGCTTTCAAAGGGGCAAATGTGCTAATAGGGATGAAAGAAGAGCAGCTGAGGCATGACGAAGGAGGCCCAGTGCTGTGTGTCCTAGCACAGGCATCAACTTTAGACGGAATTTAGTTATCCTTCAGCAAGATCGTTATAAGGAAACTGTTTCTCAAAGCAATAGATGATGGCATGGAAACCAGAGCCAATGAGCCAATTTTGGCCATTCCTAGAACTTTCTGGTCTTTGGGGCATAAATATAGAATTAGGTCAGGGTCAGGTAATTATTTTGGCAGATGTAACTTATGATACATTTCCTCTGACAACAGTTCAGATGACTGTGTTAGACATGGGCACGTAAATGCCTGGAGATTCTAGTCAAGAAGGGGCCGGTATGTTCATGTGGAATTCTGGGTGGTTTCCCTGAACATTTTAGAAATGATATGGGAGTATATTGACCATGGCATGATGGACATTAAGGAGTTCACGTTTCAGAAGAGAGAACAAGAATAGATAATTACAGTATATAAAAAGTTCATTGACAATAGTGAAAGGAAATGGGGCCTCATTCATTCTATGTCTTCAATGTACAAAACTCTATTCTAAGTGTTAGCGTTAGCTTAACTTAAAAGGCAAAGGCTGAAATTAAGTTAAAAGTCTAATTAGAGTTGAAACATTGAGAGGTAGAGGGATGGCTCAGCAGTTAGGCATGATTGCTGCTCTTCCAGAGGACTGGTGTTCAACCCCCAGCAACAATGTGGCAACTCATTAATGCATAGTTAATAACGCTGTAATTTATAACTCCAGTTCCATGAGATCAGATGCTTAACTGCCATGATGGAGTAACAGGAACAAAATTCATCTTTTCTTTAAAAGCTAAAAACAAAACAAAACCCAAAAAACTCCAACACTGGGTTTTGAAATTGCAAATCAGGCAGTACAGGACAGAGACCCCCCCCCACACACACATACACACAAAAACACTGAATATGGTGGAATATCCAGGACACTGCAAAGGGAAGAGGAACAAGGTTAGCTTAGCAACCTCCCTGAATTGGGCAGACAGAGCTCAGATTATAACGATACAGGAGTGGTAGGAGTCAAGGCATAGAATGCTGGAGAGAGGAATGGGCACGAGATACCCAGAGTCTCCTTGGGGCTTTACCTAAACTGTAGCCAATAGGCATGTGGTTGTGAGCAAATTATCAAGGGTAGAAAAGCAAGCACGAGAGGAGCAGTTGGAGCATCCCTGGGACACACAGGGCTGGGATACTGCATGTTCCCATGGGCCAGAGTAGAAAGCCTTCCTCACATATGACCTAAGCAGATCCCCAAAGAGAAGGAACTAGTGTTGCCAAATAATCCCTAACCTAAAAGTTTGCAACCACAAAATTTAGGAGGAAGTTTCAAGACCAAATAATTAAGCCCAAGTAACTAACTCAACAGTAATTCTAGAAAAAGATCAAACAAATTAAAATCCTGGGAACATATATTACATTCTCCAAACCTGATGGTGTGTCTGTGGGGAATGTTCTTAGTTGCTAATTGATGTGAGAGGGTGCAGCCTACTGTAGGGAGATGCCAGCCCTGATGGGCAGGCCTGGGCTGTGTAGGAAAGGTACTGAGTAAGCAAGGGGATGGAAGCCAGAAAGCTGTATTCAGTGTTCTACCTCAGTTCCTGTCCTGGCTGTCCTCATTGAAGACCCTTTACTTGGAAGTGTAACCTAGTTAGACCTTTTCCTCCCCCAGGCTGGTTTGGTTAGTGTTTTATCACAGAGGTGCAAACTGGGAGATTCAGGTGTACACTCAGGAGTGGTACTGCTGAATCAGATTACTTGGTTTCCATGGAGGCTGCACCTGCTCCACGCCTATCGACCGTGAGCAGGATACATCTTTCACCACATCTTGGCTGTTAGCGCTTTCAGTAAAAACTGTCCCCCAGGGGCTCATGTATTTGAACATGTGATTCTTGGTCGGTGTCTCTGTTTTGGGGGGTTGTGATGGAGGAAGTACATCACGTGGAGTTGGCATTGAGGGTTTCTAGACTTGTCCCACTTCTAGTTCCCTTACTTTGCACCTGTTTGCTGTTGAGATCTCAGCTTCCTGCTCCAGCTTCCCTACCTTCCTGTCAAGAGGAACCATCCACTGAACTAAACGTTTTCATTTATAAGTTACTTTAGGTCATGGCATTTTGTTACAGCAACAGAAAACATTATTTTCTGTTATTAGCTAATATACTTGCTAGCAGGGTTTCTCGTGTGTGTGTGTGTGTGTGTGTGTGTGTGTGTGTGTGTGTGTGTGTG